GTTTCAGACACATTGGGAGTTATACACTTTAAGTCTGTTGTGTCTATGTTTTAGATACAGAGGGATTTATGTGCTTTAAGTCTGTTGTGTCTATGTTTCAGATACAGAGGGATTTATGTGCTTTACGTCTGAAGTGTCTATGTTTCAGACACATTGGAAGTTATACACTTTAAGTCTGAAGTGTCTATGTTTCAGACACATTGATTTTCATGAATACAAAGGCAGAAATGGCAATATACTATCACCAAACTGGAAAGGGTAAATCAAGTCTCATGATATTTGACATAAATTTTAACCCAATGATGCTAAACTTAATGGAACATTTAAAAAATATTTGGTTTACAAGTTTGGTGAAAACTATTCATGTTAAAAACTGAATATAACAGTGAAAAAGGGAATAGATAAACAAAGTAAAACTTTACTACTGAAGCCAAGAAGTGTATTAGAAAATTTAAAACATCTTATTCGTCAATTACTTTGACAATATTGTGTAATAGGTAATAATACAATAAAGTTGAAGACATTACTGTTGACCTTGGTGTGTAAAGCTAGTCAATGAATAACACACACTTTTTTAAAGCCTCCTCCAAGGTTATCCAAGTTGAAAATTATATATATATCCAAGATTCAAGCACCAATAAAAAAACCCAAAGATCTATTAATTAGCAAATGTTATGACTTTTAAGAAAAGATCGTAAAGTAACTAATGTTACAAATTAGATATAGCAATTTAAAATGGCGAAAAAATAATAATTTCTTTATTCAGACATACAATATAAATTAACAAGTTAGAAATTACACAACCGTATAACAAAAAACTTAGAAATAAAATCAATACATTTGAGCATCCACAAGCAATACATGGTGCTAAAGTTAAGGTTCCAGAACTTAGTAATAAAACAAAATCATTAGAGAGCTTGTTTTTATTACCAAATTTTTGTTTCAGGGTGTATTGTTTCAGAAAAAAAATATTCATATGCAAACAGTCAAACTAACCACTACTAATACAAGGTTATTCATCTACTGACACATATACGCACACAGATATATATATATATATACACACACACATACGTACATGTACACACACACACACACGTGTATAAAATAAGGAAGCCAAATTCTTATTTTTATAAAACTTCCAAAAAGTTAATACTTTTGGTACCTGAAAACGTATTTCAGAGTTACCTCCCTGAACAACAAATAGCTATTATCTTGCACCTTGGCCATGAAATTTTTTGCACCTGCCACGAAAGACGAACGAAGCTCTCACCCCTACATGTACTGCAGACCAAATACAGACCTTCACCAATAGAAGGGTGACACATCCTCTATACACAGTAATATCCATAAGTACTAGAATTTGAACAAAGGCTATCATTGATGAGGCAGAATAAATACATTGAAAACAAGAGGGAAGTTTGTGAGATTGTGCAGAGAGGTAAATAACTATACGAGATAAATGATAACTCACCTCTCTGCACAATGAAGAGCTTGAATCCCACATTGAGAAGACCATGGAGGGGCTGATGTAAATAGAGAAATTATGAAAATGAGCTTCATTCTGAAAATAT